GCTGCCCAGGGCCAGACTGAGTGGCGCCAGCCTTGTGCGCATATGCAAGGCGCAAAAACGGTCTGCTACTTTGTTGTGTTATTGTCCGGGTCTCTGATCGCTTAAAGAGGCCTGCGCCCCTGTTGCTCGTCGTTGGAGTATTGATTAAAAGAGGAATAAAGAACTGTTGAACTTCACCATGTTGAGTCTTCATTCGCAACCGAACGGAGTATTTAATACTATCCCTGCTCTTGGGATAAGGATTTTCCATGCAAACCTACCATTGGATTTGGTGAGAAAAGTGGGCATTTGCAGCATGTTTTTGCCTTTGTGATAGTCATGATCAACAAGGAAAGGCAGAATATCTCTGTTACATAAGCATCTACTCTCCATGTTTGTTTCTTCTTTCTTGGACCGGAGTTTTAATAGCAGGTCTTGGAAAGTGAGTTTTTTCATACTTTGAATTTCTTTGGTCATGTCTGGATGTCTTAATACAGAAGAAGGAGCTTTAGCCCACATGCTTTGCACGAAGTATTCCTAATATTTCCAGTCAGAAGTATCAGATAGGCAAACAATAAGAAAGTTGAAGACCTGTGATTAAGATGCTGGAAAGTAAGCATAAATCAAGGTTGGTGATACTGGACACGTAAACAAGACCTCTGGTTCTTCTTTCACTAATACTGCTTGATTTCAGTAGACTTGATTACAATTTACTGAGACAATGCATAAGAAACAGGAAGTGGGACTTTTATTGCAAAATGGTAAGAAAGAAAGTATGTATGAATTATGAAGTCATTATTATTTCTTGGGAAGCAGGAGTTGAAATCAGAAGATAAATATATATCTGGTTTTAGAAAGGTTTGGGGGGCAGGCATCCTATTAATATGAATTAAATGTGTGTATGGCTCAGCTCTGTGAATATCAAAATGCGACAACTGTCTCCAGAAGCAGATGTTGTGAGGTGAGACTGCAAGATGTTAGAGAATTCTGAGTTAAATAACCTGCCCTGCCAAATTAAGCCAGCCTGTTCATTATTCAGGCCACTAATCAGACCAGATATATCCTCAGTGACCTAACCATTTTATCAGCAAATATATCTTTATTTGACTTTTACATTTTATGCACTACTGTTTCTCATGCTTTGAATAGATATCCCCCTTTTCTTTGTTTGTTTAGCATTTAACATTAAAACATCTGTCTTGTGGTCTGTATACACTCAAAGTTATAATAAATATCTTTTTACTACAAATGTTGTATTTTGATAACTTTGTAAAGGTGGTCCTCAATTTCTGGCTCCTATAGTCTCCTTTGACATTGAATACTATCTGTTATGAGAAGAGATATAAATAAACTGTTTTTTAAGTTTTAAAGTTGAAGTGGAGGTGAGCACAGCAGGCAGGAGAAGTCTGAGGCCTTTGCCTAATGGTGGCCTGGTCCTGGCCTAACTACCCCATCTGGGACTACCAGAGGTGCCATCACCAAGTGATGTGGTCACGTGATGTTTTACCTCATGACTCCTTCACTTAGCAACGAAAATCCTTGTGCCAGGTATAGCAGTTAGGCACAGACTTCCTGCACTGAATAGATATTAAGGGAAGATGAATTGAAAGATGTTTGCGGTTTTAAAATTGGAGGAAGGAACATCAATAAACTGCATTATGCTGATGGCACTGTCCTGATAGCTAAAAAGGCAAAGGATCTGCAAGTTCCTGAACTAAAATTAAATATAAAAAAGACCAAACTAATGACAACAGGTAGAGTAACCACCTTAAAATTGGCAATGAAGATTCTTGCTTCTGCCTTTTAGGATCAACCATCAACAGTAAAGGATCAAACTATCATGGTACTGTACAGCAGCCATGAAGGCCTTAGAAAAAGTATTCAAATATGATGTCTCTATACCTACAAAGATGAGAATAGTACTACTCATGATAGTCCCTGAGACACTTCGTGGAAGCAAAAGTTGGACTTTGAAGTAGCAGGATAGGAAAAGCATTGATACCGTTGAACATTGGTGTTGGAGAAGACTTTTGAGAATATTATAGATAGTGGGGGGGGGGAACCAAACCAAAACAAATGGCTCATCAGACGAATCAATCCAGAGTTCTTACTCAAAGCATAAATGACCACATTCAAATTATTCTATTTTGGACACATTATGTGAAGATCCAGCTATCTAGAAAAGGTCCTGATGCTGGGAAAGGTGGAAGGAAAGTGGGGGGGGGGAGGACAACCAACAGCAAGGTGGATGGGCTCAGTTACAGTGGCAATAGGTGCAATGTTAGAAGACCTGAGAAGACAGATCCTTGTGAAGAAAATCTACGTGGTTGCTAGGATCAAAAACTACTCGTTGGCATTTAATCAATTCAATCACAATGGTTTCCTAAAGTTGAGGCTTAAGAATATTCAGTCTTACACAAGTCTTATTTCCTGCTCATTACGTACTAGCCATAACTCATCTAAAATATGGATAGGTTAGGAATTGGCAGAAGAAAGAAAACCACCACCCTCTAGTGTACAACTGCAGAAAGGACAGATACTTTTCAAAAATTATTCTAGGAATAGATGCATACAGTATATCATTCAGAATAACAGAATAGCAGAGTTGGAAGAGGCCTTGAAGGTCTTCCAGTCCAACCCCCTGCTCAAGCAGGAAACCCTATACCATTTCAGACAAATGGTTGTCCAGTCTTTTCTTAAAAACTTCCAGTGTTGGAGCATTCACAGCTTCTGGTGGCAGGTTGTTCCACTGGTTAATTATTCTAACTGTCAGGAAGTTTCTCCTTAGTTCTAGGTTGCTTCTCTCTTTTGTTAGTTTCCATCCATTCCTTCTTGTCCTGCCCTCAAGCGCTTTGGAGAATAGCTTGACTCCCTCTTCTTTGTGGCAGCCCGAGATATTGGAACACTGCTATTATGTTGCCCCTGGTCGTTCTTTTCACTCAACTAGACATACCCAATTCCTGCAATGTTCTTCAAATCTTTAGCCTCCAGCCCCCTAATCATCTTTGTGGCTCTTCACTGCCCTCTTTTCAGAGTCTCAATAACTTTTTTATATTGTAGCAACCAAAACTGGATGCATTATTTCGAGTGTGGTCTTACCAAGGCATCATAAAGTGGTACTAAACTTCATGTGATTTTATTATAGCAAAAACAGCAGCAATAGTTGTCAACAAAGACCAGCAGAGACACACTTAACACACACACACACTTAACCATCAGTGGACGAATGTGGGAAAATATAAAACCAAAGTTGGGCTTTCTTTCTTTCTTTTATTGAGGGTTGCTCTCTCCTTTTTTGATAAGCTTACAAATGAGAAGACTAAGGAGAGCCATGATAGGAATTTGCACTGATTTTAAAGGCTGTGGCTTGCAAGAGGAGACGCCTCACCTTACCACTCATGTCTTCTAAGTACTGCTGTTCTACGAGCAGGAGCCCTGCAGAAACAAGAGTTATGGTCTGGTGAGATGATGAATACACATACAAATCAGTAACAGAAAATCTGAAGATGCAGGTTTCTTCAAATGTTTTTGGAAATTGTCATTTCTGATGCCAGAATTTCCCCCGATTCTTTTTCAGTGTGTATATGTGTAGAACTGACTGGTTACATTATTGCTGATAAATAATTTTGTTTCTGAGGGGTCCTTGGTGCTCTCTGAGTGTGCTTGTTTTCTTGCAGACATTTCATTACCCAAACTAGGTAACATCATCAGTGCTACACTGCTACACTAGCACTGATGATGTTATCTAGTTTGGGTAATGAAACATCTGCAAGAAAACAAGCACACTCAGAGAGCACCAAGAACCCCGCATGTCAATCCTGAGCTACAAATATTCTCCTTTATTAGTAACTGCAAGGACTACTGGGTTTATTCCCTGTATAGCTTTAGCTTTGTAACACAGCCTGTGGTTGATGATAAGGAGCTGTTTTTATTTGGGAAGCCAGCTTGCTTACATGTAAATACACACCTACCAATAAAGACCTATAAAAGAGAAAAAAAATTCAGATCACCAGATTATATACAAAATGTATAGCCCTTTCCTAGATCGGGATGCTTTAGACAATCACTTAAGCCCTAGTCATCACACAGCTTGACTACTGTAATGGATACCATAGTGGAGGGGTAGGGAACCCAAAATACTTAAAGAGCCACACACACACACAAAAACACAAACACACACACACACACACACAGAGAGAGAGAGAGAGAGAGAGAGAGAGAGAGAAGCAGGGAAGCGCAATTCCTCTCTCTGTCTCTGTCTCTGTCTCTCTCTGCAAAGGCAGAGGAGGCTGGGAGCCGCAGGGGAAGGCTCAAAGAGCCGCATGCGGCTCCGGAGCCGCAGGTTGCCGACCTGTGCCATAGTGTATGGAGCTCCCTTGAAAACTACCCAGAAGCTTCAATTGGTCCAGTAATGGGCAGGCCTTGATATGCCAGTGTAACATCACTTGTCTGTTGCTCACAGTGAATTCTTCACTATCCCAGAAGTCAGTACAGCTAGTCCTCATTTAGTGACTACTTTGTGTAGCAACTGTTCACAGTTGCAACACTGATTAAAAATTACTTTACAACCAATCCTCACATTTACAATCTTCACAGGTCTGTAAAGCAAAGGAAAGCTGAAGTGAGATCAGCAAAGACACAGTTTTATTTAGCATTTGCTTCATGCAAGGACCAAGTTTCTGGTCTCAATTGTGGCCACTAAATAAGGACTACTGTAGCTTTTCATAACTGAGAATGCTGCTGCCATGTGTTGTGAAAGTGGAAAATACATCAACTATAATGACACTGGTTCCCGAAAAAATAAGATTCCTGGAGTCTGAGATATACACATGCTGATTTGATTCTGCACATCTGTAGGAGATTCTTCCCTCAGACTGTTATATTCTGGAACATTGATAATGAATAGGATGAACTCTGGAAAACTGCCTCTTAGATTCCTCATGTATTTCAAATCCTGACCATTGTCTCTCCTTATTTATTTTTTATTATTAATTTTTTTTCCTATCCATCTTGCCTTGAAGGAACTCTGGGAAGTTGACAATGAACTACAATGCCACTATTTTTCCCAAGGCTGTGGATGACAAAACATAATTTGCCTGACTGGTAGTTTGTGGTGAAGAATGAAGACTGCGAAGAAGTTTCTGTGTGAAAATATTTTGAAAATATTCCATAGCAAGAAAAGTAAGGTTTTACACTTAGGCAAGAAAAACCAAATGCAAAGATATAGAGTAGGTGGTTCCTGGCTTAACAGTAGTAACTGTGAGAGGAATCTAGGAGTCCTAGACCTAGTGGACAACCAGTTAAGTATGAACCAGCAGTGTGTTGCAAAAAAGCAAATGCATTCCTAGATGCATCAACAGATGAATAATATCAAAATCATGTGAAGTATTAGTACTGCTATATACTGCCTTGGTAAGCCCACGCTTGGAATAATGCATTCAGTTCTGGTCACCATTACATAAAAAAGAGGTTGAGAATTCTGGAACTTGAAATTCATCCATAAAGTGGCTGAGATAGAAAAACATTACTGTAGAGCAGGGGTTTCAAACTCACAACGTCACGTGATGCGTCGTGATGTATCGTGACCTTTTTTTCCATTGCTTGCAATAGGGTGGACGCGGTTTCTCTATGACGCATCCAGCCCGCAGGCCGGCAGTTTGACACCCCTGTAGAGTATTGCAAATAGACCCATGGTGGATTTTCAGGAGAAAATTCTTGAGATCACTTTGATTTTTTTTCAACAAGTAAATCCAGAGACAAAATAATAAAAGATTTACAAGTATGAGGACCAGGGATATTACTTGATAAATACTGTATAGATATTGAAATTACAACAATTTACATTTTGTCTTTTTTTCCTCTTCTATCTATCTGCAAGTAATTTTCTTTCTTTTGAAACTAAAACCACAAGCCCTTGCTTGCATTGTCAATACCATATTGCTTAGCAAACAATTGGCGACTTCCAGCAGTCAATCAAACATGTAGAAATGGAGTCGCAGCCATGTTTGTTTAAGGCTAAGTGAATATAGCAGCTGTGGCTGGTAAAGCATAGTTTATAGCTTAGCATATTGTGGAAACCCAGCCAGTTATATTGAACAAGCCATACTTAATCAAACAGTGGCACAGCAATGAATGAATCTGATCATCTGGAAACATTGGGTCAGTGTTGCACTTAAACTGTAGCCAAATTTGAGCAGAAACTTCAAAAATTGTAAGCAGTGGGAAACTTCATAGTAAAAGTGACTGTCAGTTCAACTGCCAAATTCCCGCCTTAGGACTCTTGAGTTTCTTTGAAGCATTCATGCTCAGTTCTACTTGTTGGACACAATAAATCACATTGTCTTATAGGAAAGTGTCTCAGAACTATTGTTTGGTACTGAGTAGATCTGCTATATACAGGTTACAGAACTTGAACCACTGTTAAGGGGCAGCAAAGACTTTGTTTTCTGTATTACTCTGCTGCCATCCAGCAGTCATCCAAATTTTCGCAGCCCAGATAAAGCAACCAGTTTTTAAATCTACCATATGTATGTAAATAACATGGAAGAATATTTTTAAAAAATAAATTTTTAAAAAAATCATTAAAAATGTAATCTGGGCTAGCAAGATTGTACAAGTAGCAAGTGCCAGAGGCAGCACTCATAGCCCTCTCTGTGGGCATGCACGCCATGCCCCGCAGATGGCAACCGTCCCTCTTCAACCAGCCACCCGCTAACTTGTAGCCAGATGCATCCCAGCATGGCTGGTTTCCCCCCCCCCCCTTCCATCCCTCCTGGCCTCGCATGTTCTCCTTTTCCTGGCACGACCCACTGCATCACCTCCTCAGCTGTTGGCCAGCCGTCCAGCTCAGAGGCAGCTTCTCTGAACTGCTGGCGGTGGGCTGGGAAGCCCCAGGGTGCACCCAGTGTCAGGCAGCAGCTACCCCGGCCCGTCTCGCCATGCCCTGCGACAATTGCACCCTCCACCCTTCCTTACCTCACCCCGCAGGATGAGCCTCCTACCCATGGCCCCACCTGCCTGAGACCTCCTGGATCTCCCCCAACCCTGCCCAATCCCCACAGACGTCCCTCCCCACAAGCAACATCACAGTGACCATGCCCACCTTGGCCATACCCATCAAGTCTGCCATGACCACCACAGCCACACTCACCCACTGGCCCACGCCCACCTGGCACTTGGTGATAAATAAATGGGTTTTGGGTTGCAGTTTGGGCACTCGGTCCCTAAAAGTTTCACCATCACTGTCCTAGATATTACCAACTTCTGATTTAACGTTGAATACTACTCCACTTTGCTTTCTCATTCAAAATGCCAACGATCTCATTGGGATACCAAGGTCAGGAGCTACAGTGAGAAAGCATCATAGCCATTGACAGATTTGCGTCTCTGCTTTTGCTTAATTCTAAGGGGGAACGGTCTTGGTTTGCTCTCCAAGCTTGTTTCAATTTAGTTCCTTGATTATTTTTTTTTTGGAAACAAGCTTGGAGAGCAAACCACTGGCAAAATGCAAAAACCCGAGCTACAAGTATTTTCAGTTATTTCACTCGACTACCGTAGCTGGGCTGCAAGAATCCGGAAGACCCTGTAAAAGACGCAGAGAAAGCCGGCTCGAGAGCCGCCTTTGCGGCGCAACCTTGCATGCTGCCATCGCAGTCATTACGACCACGGGTTTTCCTCCTTCCAGGAACGGCCCCCTTTAGAACTGAGCGCATGCGCCTTTCTTGACTCAAAAAGTACGCAGGCGCTGTTCGCGGCCTTCCTGTCAGGGGCGAGATGGCGTCGGCGTCGGTGTACCGGGCTTTGGGATTTGTTGCTAACCGGGCTCTTCTTCGGGGCTCGTACGCACCGGTGAGTCCGTGCCCGGTTGGATCCCTGGCAAAGGAGCGTGCGGCGGGGGTGGGGTGCCTAGGGGAACGCAGACGACTGGGGAAGTCCGCCGGGCTCTGCGTCGCCTCCTTCACCGTCCGCGAAGGTCATAGCAAGGAAAAGCCTGTCGGGCTCGGTCCGTGGAATCGCTTCCTCGGTCCGATCCAGCCCGGTCCGAATAATGGGCGTTCTCAGCCAAAACACCGGCAGATATTGATGCCCTCTGAGGCTCGTCCCGACCTTTCTGCTCCAGTTTTACCCTTTGGGAGGTATTGCGGAGAGCCTTTATTTACACGTTTGAGCTTGTCGTGGACCGAGCAGATCGCGATCAATCAGAGCCACTGAACAAGGGCCGAAGGCTCAGCCCGTCTCCTCCGTCCTTAGCCCCCGACTAAGGATGAAGCATCCCGCCTTCCTTCGCCACCACGTTGCGCGGCTTGTTTTGGCAGCTGAGTAGTAGAATGGCAGGGCTTGGAGCACCTTGTTTCCAAATGTTTTCGGCCCGTTCGCCTGCATACCAGCTCTTGACTGTTATTGTTCATTTATATTCTAATATTGGATAGCAATATTAAATCCGGCCTATTAAAATCAGGATGACTTCTAAAAGACAGCCACTCAAATCTAGTAGGCTGTTGGGAATGCAGAAAGACAAGGGGGAAAAGTTGCAGTAGTGCAACTATGTTCAAGGAAGTTACTGTTGTCTACAATATGGGACAGTTGTAAGTTTCTGTTGGTATTTTACGGATTTCAACCATATGAAAATGAAAGCTCAAGTGGGTGAATTGGACATATAAGGAAACAGCCAAAGAACTTGTTATCTCTGAATATCTTAAACTAATATTTCTCTGTATGTTGCCTTATTTTGTTCTGCTGCTGAATTCAGGCCTAATTGCCACATATTTCTGACCAAAGCCCTAAGTTTTTGAACCGATACACTAAGTAGAAATTTAGCTGCAATGGATAATAACAAAATCTCTTCCCATTTTAATTCAGCCATTACTGGTCACCCAGTTCTGGCTGAAAAAAGTTGCAACTGCTATCAAGGAACTATTAAGGAATATATGGAAATGTTACTGATTTGAAAATTGGGATGTAAATCTTGTTAGGGAATCTTAGAACTATTTGTACTGTATGCAACATTCACACAACATACTGTAAGGTAGAATCTGTATGTTTGGTTTTAATCTAGACAGTGTGGCTTTAATTCAAATGAATGAGCATCATTTTAGCACATTGTATGAACCCAGACATATAAGCTTTGTTAATATTTTAGTCTACGTTAGAGCCCTAGGTGTAATTGCTTTGTGATTATTTTATTTGGAAACTATCAGCAGTTATGTCAAAAATCAGAAATTGCAACTTTGTTTTTATTGGTTATTGTTCATATTCTACTTTGGCTGTCAATTTGGAAATACAGATCTGTGTTTTGAAAGCATTAATTGTAATATTCTTGTATTAAATTGATTATATAAATTATTCTGCATTGTGAAGTGAATTTCATGATGGTTTGCTTCAGGAAGATGTGTACTAAAATTATTTTCCAATTGTCTCTCTTGTTCCTCAGAGAAATATTAGATTGTGTTCAAAGATTCATTAATTTTCTTCCCAAAGTCATTCTGAATATATGATTTTTTTGATATAAGTGCAGTTTATTGGATAGCTTCTGAAATCTCATATATTTGCATGCTATTAATGTTTAGTTATGTATTCCTTTTCCATAGAGTTTGGTGTCTGGTTTTTTTTAAAAAAAATATTTGCTTGCTCTTGATTTGTGTCACAACTTACAAATAAGACACTTGAAATTGAACTAAATAACCCCAGAATAAAATATAATTTGTTATAGGTATCCTATAATTTTAGTGCATATGTTTGTTCTTTTATATTGTATTAAATAAGAAACATTTTTTTAGCTATCCTTGCAGGGCTTGGTGAAAAGAGGAAGCACTGCAACCTATGCTAATGTGCTATCTAATCTTCCTGAGACTGAGGTTACTACTTTAGACAATGGCTTACAAATAGCATCGGAAAACTCAAACCACCCTACATGTACAGTAAGTTTTAATTTGGTTTTCTGAAAAATGTTGGAATCCCTATTATTTCCATTGGGTACCTATTCAATTCAGGTTTGATATTTTTTTAATGGAAGGAATGTAGTAAAACCTTTTACTAAAAGGCATACACTTTCTTAAGCTGCAGCTTACTTTATCAGAAGCATAGGTGGCTAGACTGATTATATTTACATATTTCCAATAGAGAGTAACTTTCCTTAAAAACTGAAAGAAAAGTCCTAAAACCAACTTAGTGAATAGCAGACTCCAAAGTGAGTCTTTTATTGCTTTGAAGCTATTCAGAGAAATATAATGTACATTTTTATTTCAGAAAAGTCATAGATTCCACCATAGAAAGGCCAAAATAGCAGGCAGATTTTTGAAATATGGTCACTATGTTGGGATTTTTGCCGTTCTCTGAGCTTGGTTGTTATCCTGCAGATGGCTACCGTTCCTGTTTTTCCTTTCTTAATGTCTAACTATTGAGTCAGTGTATTCCAGAATTAATTTTCAGTTCAGTTAGAGCAGTTATAAAGCTCAGCTGGACTTGCAATTTTATGTTGTGAAATTTATATTACTTTGAAATTTCTGTTAGCACAGATCTTTCTCAGCAGAATTGCTTACCTTATTGAAGGGATCCTTTCAGTGTAGAATATCAAAACAACTACAGGCATATCTTGTTTTATTGCACTTTGCTTTTAGGCTAAATTCTGGTGTTACTTTCAGCCTCTGCTTAGATTTTGATTCATTGACTAGAAAAAAAAACTGTCAGTATTGACACTCCTTAGAAGGCCAGATCCTGAAGTTGAAACTCAAGTACTTTGGCCACCTAATGAGAAGGAAGGATTCACTGGAGAAGAGCCTAATGCTGGGAAAGATTGAGGGCAATAGAAGAAGGGGACGACAGAGAATGAGATGGCTGGATGGAGTCACTGAAGCAGTAGGTGTGAATTTAAATGGACTCCAGAAGATGGTAGAGGACAGGAAGACCTGGAGGAACGT